GTTGAAAAAAATAAATAGAAATAGTGTTTTTTTTAAACAAGGAATTAGAGAATCGGAAATATTTTTGTTGATACAATAATTAATCGAATCCGGAAAAATTATAATACATTTTCTGGTTGAAATGAAAAAATGTCTGGGGGTTGAGTAAAAGAAAAATCGTACTATTTGAAAAAGCATTCATTTCTCATAAAAGTGAACCAACACTTCTATAAATAATTGCTCATACTAATAATAATAATAATCGTAAAATGCATAATTGTTGGGAAAAATGCAGCTATATTTTTAAAAGGAAAACCCTCAATTTGAACATTGGGAAACCTGGAAACAAAGTTTTTCATTTTGTTCAAAAAGTCAAGCTCATTATTGTTTTTTTTTGTTTGTCTTGGATAAAAAAACGAAATATATTGGATTTGTCTGTGACATAAGAACGTGAAATTAAATGTGCCAGAAACCAAAGTTTGATAGGTTTATTTATTTATTATTTTTTCTGATTGTGAAAAAGACAATAGAGTTTTCTGAGGATTTAGGAACTATATTTTTCAATTCGGTATAGTTCATTAAAGTTATGAAAAAAACTGATGTTTGATATCGACGAAGTATTTTGTGACAGGTTCGATTTGGAAAACAATTGAATTTTCAAATAATCAATTCTGAAAAATCAGCGACGGTGTCTGGTTTATTTTATAGATGTAGAATTCAATATCAAATTGAAAGAATAAAAAATCTTGGAAATCTTGAGAATTTATGGAAAAATACCTGTGTTAATTATGTGAAATTTCTTATTTCCCATTGAATTAAGAACAAAAATGTTTCAAAAAAAAATCAGAAATTTTCATTGGATTTGTTCGCTTCTAAAACACACATGTTTTCATGATCTCATTTTTCATTGATCAAGTTCATAAGTTGACTCTTTCTCAGAATGTAATATGAAATAATATCCGAGTACTGAAATTAGAGACAACAGAAATCAAAAACCTCTCACTGTTTTTTTTTTCACTTTTAGAGTCACAAACATGTCTTCAGATGTTTTTTCATCAGAAACATTTCAAATTGACATTTTTTCAAACAAAATTAAACATTCGCACAGCAATTTCACTAATACCGATCAACTCATTCAACTCAAAATGACATAAAAAGGCCCTAAATTTTTTTATGTCTCTTTTATTTATTGACATCATACTTGTTTTCATTTTGTGCTTTTTATCCATATCTATTTGACCTTGTTGATTCAAATTATAATAACTTTCTAGTGGAAAAATTCACACATGTATGTGATGTGAAAAAAGTTTTTTGATCAGTCCCGAAAATAAATATAATAAAAAAGAGAGATATATTTGTAACTCGATTAGTTTACATATATTTATGAATGCCTTTTATTTTTCTTATTCATTTATATTTTCTTGTCTCGCTTTCTGGCTTATGCACTTTTGGTGTTCCAAAATTGATTGTGACAGTTTTTCTCAAGATTGATTGGTGTTGTTTTTCTGCTTCATATTTCTTGCACTTTTTACGTGTTTGTTTGCTTAAACTGTTTTTCATAAGAGTTCATCAAAATTCTCATTATTTTATGAATCAAAATATTCATCACAATATTTATTTTGTTTCGTTCCAATTTACGCCTGATTTTTTTTCAAAACATTTCATTTCGTTAAAATAACAAAAAATTCGATTCTTTGAACTCATGTTTCCTTTTTTAATAAACCTGTGACGAGGAAGTCGACAACCTTTTCTTGTTTTCTGGCTAATATTTCGAAAAAAACATCATTAAATGCTTAGTAGGTTCACATTTCTAGTTCCTTTTTTCTTTTTATTGTTTTTCTTTTCACTTATATTTGGTTTTGCCGTTCGTTTTATTATGAGATCGAGTTACTTATCCAATTTATTTTCATTTATTGTTTATTTAGTTGTTATTTTAGGAATTTCTAGATAAAGAATCCGAAATATTTTGAGACCACCCTGATTTTTAATATATCTATGAAATCATCTTTTTCCACTAAAAGAATGTCGCTCGAAAAAAGAATAAATACGAAATTTGAGGCTAATTAGAAAATATTATTTTTGTCCTGACATCAGAAAACATTGTTGACTTTATTCTAAGAAAAAGCACGGAAATGTAATTCATCAAAAAATCCTACGCTCTTTTGTTCGGAATTAATTTGGCGCAGAAACATGTCGTGACCCACCTAACCTGAAAAAATGCTCTTTTGAGCAACAAAAAACTGACATTGTGTTGAAAGCTGAAAAATTTCAACGTCAATAAAAATGAAATTAATCATTTTTTGAGACAGTCATTTTTTATTTATTTTGAATGAAACACATTGTGTTCTTTCCTTTCTTAAAAAAAAAATCAAAATAAAATTCAATTCAACTCCTCCCCCTCAGCTCAGCCTGTTTCAAAACGGAACTTGGATAAAACATCATCACGGTCTCATTTTTCATTCCCTGCCTTTTTTTTTCATTTTGCCTTTTTCTTCATGTTGTTATTATTTTTTTCAAATAATCAAGTTTGCACATTCATTTCTGTCTAGATGTAAGAAAAATACAATTTGTTAAATTGAAAAATAAGAAAGAAGTTCCGAGAACAAAATGATCAAAGAAGTGAAAAATGAGAAAAAAGAAAAAAGAATGAGAAGTTGTTCGAAATTGCGAATTTCCTGTGAAAGTACTTATTTTGTCTTGTCTTGTTTGTTATTCACATAATTTTAGAGTTTAGTAAATTATTCACAGTACGGATTTGTAAAAAAAAACAATTTCGATCTTTCGAATTAATTTCACAAGTTGTTCCGGATGATTTGAAAAATAATGGTTTCCTGTAAATCATAACTGGAAACACCCGGGCCATGTTCAGATTTTCCAAATTGCTAACTGTTTTGAATAATTTACTTTACCTCGTCTCGCCTCTTGTGTATTCTCATCATTTCTCAACGCCCCACAAAAAGTTCCTTTCAAAAAATCTTTTCACTCTATCTTTTCAGTTTCAGACACAACATTTTATTAGATTTTACATTTTGTTGGAAGCTTTTAGTTACCCCAACTTTTTTTTCTGTAAAAAAAGTGTTTTAGCAGATCTTTCAAACCAAAAAATTCAAATTTTTTTGGGAAAAAGTCAATTATTTGCTCAAAATGTTTCGTGTTTTGATAGAAACCAAACAATGTTTTTTGGACATTCAAATTTCGTTAACCGCATTTTTTTTTATTTTCAAAAAATCTCGTTCCGCAACATTAATTTTTTTTCTTCCGCAATTTTTTTCAAGAAAAAAAAATGAATACAGTATAGTCATATGATTGAAAATAAGTGGGAATTTGAACAAATATCCGTTCAAAACGTCATTGACTAATTATATTTGTCATTTTGCCTATTTTGATGATGTTAGTTAGTATTTAGTACTGCGCACTTCCGATGTGAGAAAAACGAGGAGCGAAAAAAAGCGCGGGGCAAAATTGTGCTCAGGAGGTGTGTATGTGATTGCTCTAATTCTCGACAAACTTGCAAATTAGCATGATATCCTAATGCGTAAATTTATACAACCATCTATCCATCCAAGCCATCTTCTTCTCTCCATTTTTATATATTTTTTCTACTTTTTGCCTTTCTTTCCTTCATTCATTTTTGCCTCATTTTTTCACTTGCCTTTTTCTTTGCTTACTTTTCCTTGTGTCCAGTTTTATTTATACATAAATGTTATGACCTTTTTAGAAATGAAACAAAAACTTTTTCATTCTGACAAATCTGTCCCAAAAACAATAACGTCACGTGGATATTTGATACTTTACCAACAAAATTAGTTTTTTCTCTTTTCTTGTTCAATTTTTTTTTCATTTAGAAGAAGAACATGACAAAAAAAGAGAGAACAGAATTCATTAGATGTACAAAGTTCATTTATTCAAGACCCCCAAATTTCTATAAATTTCTAAACGAGCTGTTCATTTTATATGTTTTGCTCTTTTTCTCATAAATTTCTGGTTGAAAATTACGCTGAAATTTGCTTCAAAATTGAAAAAAATAAATCTTATGATTTCATCCATCTTAAAAGGGTGTTCTTTTAGGTTTCCTGTCGTTTTTTCTGGATAAAAAATGAAACTAATTTCGAAAAAAAGTGCTCTGCAAACTCATCCAGGCGGCCAATCCCGATCGAAAAAAACGCTCATTAAAAAAACATAGGAAAATACATAATTGTTGGTTTCTGAAGAATTGAAGGGTAATCATCTTTGGATAATCTATTAACTTTTTCCGAAAAACAATTATGTTTTTTTTTTCAAAGATCCAATCATCAAACACAAAACAGTTTATGAAATTGTTGAGTTCGAGGAAAATAGAAAGATTTTATGAGTTTCTAGGAAAACATGAACCAGAAAAATGATCGAATTATACTTTTTCGAAAATCTAGTTTTCTAGAAAAAATTGTAAGACTTCATCAAGTCCAAATCCTGGATTGTTTTTCGAAAGTGGAAAAACAATTTTTTGGAGTTTTCGAAAAATATTGGAAATATTTTTACATGAATTTAGGACGTTTTTTGGTCAGATTTGCTGATCATTTTTTCAAAAAATTCTGAAAAATATAAGGCTTCACTGTTTGTTTCAAATTTCCACAAAAAGGTGTTTTTTTGGTCATCATTTTTGAAATATGGAACAAATTACTAAAGTTTGGCTGAATTAATCTGTAAAATTTACTAAATTATTTCTCTAAAATTATAAATCTTTCCACTTTTATTAAAAACCAGATTATTCCATTAAAATTCCCAATCTACGTGAAAAATTGCAACAAACTTCAAAATACTCTATCTGATCTCTTCTACCTAGGTCCAACCTATTTTTAGTATTTCTTCTTCCCACCACCAATTCAAAACCCAATCATAAAATTAAACTCCGCCTACATCCACGCAAATTTATTCGGTGTTGAAAATTAAAGATGCCAAGTAAAAGTGGGCGGAGTCTTTTGAAAAGCGAAGGACCCATCAACGTTTAAAGTTAAACGAGTTTCAGTTTCAGCTATATTTGTTTGCTTGCTTATTCTGATCGATTGGTTGTGAGGTCGGTTTTTTAAGGATTTTGGGGGAAATATATAAGCATGGTTATTTTGTAGTTAATTAGTTATCCGAACTCATTTAGGGTGTTTTGTAAATCTACATACACACAGATATTTATTCAAGAAAGATTTCTGATTTTTGTGAATCAACATTGTTTGACTATTCTGAATTACCTACATAATTACTTCACAATCATCTTGTCAAGTTTCATGTTTCATGAGATAAACACTTTGTAATTGCTTCAACACCCACCCAAAAATAGTGCAGTAACAAATGAAATCCAATTAAATGAAAGCTGAAACTCTTTTTTTGTGTGTGTGTGTATGCGTATGTGTGTGTGTGTGTGTGTGTGTTTGTCGCTCTACACGACGATGCAAAAGTTTCAACAACCCATTTACTGACACTTTTTTGCAATTCTGTCATTTCATCACTGATGAAAACGAGAAAACGAAAAAACGACGACAAAATAAATAAATTCGAACATTTTGTCTTGTTAATCCTTCTTTAGCCTGACGACATCTTGAAGTCACTTTTTCTTCTTCTTTTTTCTGAATGGTGTTATTTGGCTTCACTTTTTTCGTCGCCTTTTTTTCAATTTTGCATACTTCATTAATCCATTATTATAATTATTTCCCGGTTTTTTTCGAGCAATGAAAAATATTTCCAATTATTAATTTCCAGTTTTTTGTATAAAATCGGAAATTGAAAAAATTACTTCGGAAATTGGATAATTTATGAGTGGGTAAAAAAGTCTGGATGATGTTTTTAGAATTTTTTGCAAATAACGAACAGAGAAAGGTCATAGACTAAACTTTTTGCAAACAAAATTGATCAAACATTTGGGAATGAAGTGAACTGAACATTTTCAGAAATAAAGAACTTTTTGTTGGAATTATTTCAAATCTTGTGAAGTAGCTGAATCTCACAGTTTTTTAAAGGTTTTTGGGAATCAAACATCAACATAAGACGGACGAAGGAGACTCAGGGGTTAACTTTTCAAAAATTTTTACAGAAGGGGCTTACCTCAAAGGTCCCTTCAGCTAGTTCGTGAATGTATTTGTAACTCCAAATTTTGAATCTGTTTTATTATTTTTTTTATATTTTCAATATTTTCACCACGACTTTAGTCGGAAAACAATGATACTGAAACTTAAAAGTACTTGAATTTTTCCGTTTTGATGAACTTAGCGATTGTTTATCAAACTCCTAACATCACACAAATATGGTGACCCTTCCTTTCATCAAGTTTCTTTCTCAATTCTTCTGAATCTCTTAGTTTCAGTCTGATTTTTGAACTTGCAAATACAACGTAGATTGTTTTTTCCAAGAAAATGAAAGAAAAACAAACAAGTAATATAATATAGGGTTCAATCAGTGGAACCTTTCTCCCCCCATTTTTTCGTTTCTTTTGCAGCATGGAAAAAACGAAAGAAAAAAAAGAGAATATATATGAAACTTTGATGAATATTATTTCTTTGCAATTTCCTGTTATAAAATCACACATCCGGTATCAGCTAAAACATTCTCGATTTTTTCAATCTCACAAGAGCACACTGACAAATCCATCTATGCTCTGAATATATTCATGTGGAGGAAATTGTCAAGTTCCTTCCAGTGCGTATTTTTCTTGTGTTTTTACTTGCTTTTGAGAAATGAGGGTGGTAGGTGAAAGATCGTTTTGTTTTGGGAATTGTTGAGTCATTTTCAATTTATTTCAAGTCTACAGAAATTTGAAAAAAATATGTTTTTTTCATATAATGCGGAGTTTGTGAACTTTAAGCTGTCTAGGATTTTTTGTTGGATTTACAGAAGGGATTTTGATTTCATTGATGTTCAACGATTTTTTGATGACTATTGGCTCAAAAAACCAAATTTTGAATTGAACTCCAAAAGAGATCGAAGTTTGTGAGCATTCCGACATCCTGAAGTCTAAATTCAGCGAAAAACTCCCACAATATCACCCACAAAAGTTTTTTGTTTCATTCATGGAGGTCAAAAAATAGTCGAGTTGCAAAAAATGAATTATTCATACTATCAATTCATCAAAAACCTCCAATACTAAACCACATACACGAATGATAAAATTTTATTAAAAATGTATGTACAGTATTTTTTGGGATACATTTTCAGATGATTGATCTCAAAAATAGAGATCAAAAGAAATAGGAAAAATTCAGAAATAATTGTGACAAAAAATGTCTACGATTATCTCTCCAACTTCCTTGTCCCAAATATTTCCAACTTTTTGCCAAGATATATTTTCCATCTAAAACTAAAAATAAGTTAGTTGTACAAGACGTATAAAATATTCCTTTTTTAGACAAGTAAGCTTTCTTGACTCGTCTTTTCCATTAATCCTGTTGATTTGACACATCTTTCTTTTTTCTTCTATTTTTTTTATATATGCCTCATTTATTTTTTCTCAACTTTTTTTTCAGCTCCATAAATATATATTTTGTTTTTGTTTCTGATGAAAAAGTGCCACCCCATAACAAATATTAATCCATCCATAAGTTCTCAGAAAAAAATTATGCAATTTTATTCTGCTTCGTGTTGTCAAGCTTCTTCTTTTTTTTCTCAATTTTTTTCCAAAAAAAGTGGGCGGAATATATATCTGGAAGTGAAGATTTAAACTTATAATCAGTCAGCGGATTTGATTTTCTATCACAAAGACTGAAAAAAAGAGAGACTCATTGAATTTTTGTTCTATACTATTTTTTTCTTATTACTGACTACTGACGCACTCAAAAATGATGTAAGTTGACATGATTTGCATATTCCTCAAGAGTTTTTGGAATCTTAGATTTAGTTAGCAAAAAAAAAGATGAAAAATGTACATAGCTTTGAAATTCTTTTTTGTGGCCACAAATTTTACGCCATTATGAGTTTTTCGCCCCGTCTAATCATGTTATCACCTGTTTTTTTCGCGCTTTTTCTAGTGGAAAAAGTTCATAATTATATTTTCAAAGAAAAAATAACTAAAGATTTTACTGAAAAAATTGATAGAAAATGCTGATATCACGGTGAGTTAGGTGAGGTTTATTCGATAATATTTGTACAGGAAAGGTTTATCTATTAGTTGGTCCGGTTTATCTATTAGCTGGGTAAAACTTTTACCATGATCCCAAATGTTATCTTATTTTCTCGTGAAATACATATTATCATACCATATTCCAGAATTTTCAGATTCACATACATTATTACTTCAGAAAATCATAAAATTCCGGAATATTTTTTGTAATTTTTATCTATATTTTTTCTTTAAAATGATTCACACACTTTTTTATCTAGTTTTTTCTCCATTTTTTCTATCGCATATACATCTCATTTAGTCTGAAAGCTATAAAAAAAGACATGAAGGATTACGTGTGTGGTGTCGTTTAATCTGCTCTACATCTATCTATATTTCCGAACACAGAAAAATCCTTTTGATAATTTTTCTATTTGAATATTAGATCTAATTATTTTTTTTCAAAATTCACAAAAACATATTTTTTTCAGATCGAGTTATGGAATGAGTTCTGCCGAAGAATCATACACATTTTTTCAAGTAAGTTTTGGTTTTTTGATCAGAAATCTTTAGCAGTTGATGTTTGACAGATTAAAAAAGCATGAAAACAAAAATATGAGTTTTTTCAGGTGCTGAAAGGCAGTGCACTTTTCCTCTTGGTGATATGGACAATTTTCGCAAACTCGCTTGTGTTTATTGTTTTGTACAAGAATCCAAGACTTCAAACGGTCCCCAATTTATTGGTTAGTAACAAATTATTTCAAAATATGAAGAAAATGAACAATCTTTTTAGGTTGGAAATTTGGCATTTTCTGATCTGGCTTTGGGACTTATTGTTCTTCCATTATCATCAGTTTATGCGATAGCTGGAGAATGGGTTTTTCCAGATTGGTTATGCGAAGTGTTTGTGTCAGGTTAGTTATTTGATTTTTGAAACATTGAATTAATGCGATTATACGATTTTTCTAACTAATGAGCATTTTAATGAATGTTAATGTTTTAAGCGGATATTTTGTGCTCAACTGCATCAATTTGGAATCTATCAATCGTTGGACTTGATCGATATTGGGCTATAACAAGCCCGGTTGCATATATGAGTAAACGTAACAAAAGAACTGCTGGAATCATGATTTTATCAGTTTGGGTTTCAAGTGCTTTGATCTCGCTGGCCCCGCTTCTTGGATGGAAACAGGTTAGTAATTCAAAAAACAAATTGTTTTTCATTTCTCACTTTTTATTTAAAAAAAAAAAAAAAAAACAATGATCGTATTATTTGCAAGCTTTTTTATTAATCCTGACTTTTGTTCTAATTAATCCCTGTGTTTTCATAGACCGCATCAAAACCAAATTTGATTTACGAAGAAGGAAAAGATGATAGGCGACAATGTACTTTTCTTGATCTACCAAGTTATACCGTATACTCAGCAACTGGCTCTTTCTTCATTCCAACAATTTTGATGTTTTTCGTCTATTTCAAAATTTATCAAGCGTTTGCGAAACATCGTGCACGACAAATTTATCGACAAAAGGTAAGTGAATTGTTTTGTGAATAAATTGAAAATCCCGCAAAACATTGAATGATCGAGCAAAAAATGTCTGAATGCAGCAACATACTTCTCAGCCTGTATGATGATATATTTATTCACCAAAGGGTGAACTTTCTGTGAGAGATAAAGCAAAGCAAAATTAACCCAAATGACTCAAATGAAACCCATAACAATCAAAATCAATTTTTAGCTGGCCGTCTCGTCACATGTAAGAACTATATTTTTATTTATATTGTCATTTTAGTGTTTTTGTCGCCCTTTTTGCCCCCTCGTTCACATCACAACACACATTTATACACTACTATACACCGCACCACCCTATTTTCAATTCAATTTTTCTCGATATGTGCGAAATGATCTCATCTCATTTGATTTGACTTGATTTTTTGATTTTTCCTCTCGAATTCACACAAAACAAGGCATGGCATGTCACCCCTTTTTGGATTGGAAACAAGTTGAATTATTTTCAGATTCAGAGACCTCCTTTTTTCATTTATATTTTTTTCAAAAACTCCTACCAGTGGTTTTTTGTGTGACTTTTTTTGATAGCGTAGATGATTAGCTTTTTTGAGTGATATGATTGATTTCAAATTTAAGTTTGACAAAAATCAATGAACTTTATTTACAGGTGATTCGAAAACATATCGAATCAACTATTCTTCATGAAATTAGTCATGTTCTTCCAACTTCTGATGAATTTGCTAAAGAAGAAGAAGAAGAAGAAGACAGTAAGATTTTCTTCTGTGCAAAATTGGAGACAAAACATAAGTTTCATTTTTCAGGTGAAAGTAGTGGCCAAGTGGAAAACGGTCTTCGAAATAACAATGACGCTATAATTGAAGAAGAGGAAGATGAAGGCGAAGACGAAGAATCTGATGAAAAACGGGATGATCATACTGTAGTTACCACTGTGACTGCTACAGTAGTCGGGCCTTCAGATACATCGTACATTAAACGGGAAGCAAAAGTATGATTCCCACATTTTGAAGGATTCTTTAAACTCACATGAATTTTTGCAGATTTCAAAATCCGTGCCCGCTATGATTGATAAAAACGAAGCTATTGTGCATAAACGAGAAGCAAAACCAATGCGAAGTGTTATGGCAATTTCCTATGAAAAAGTGAAACGACATAAAAATCGGTAACAAAAAAGACTTTCTCGAATGTTCTTTGCAAATAAACTCTGAATTTATTTTTAGGAAAGAGCGTATCTATCGAAAAAGCTTGCAAAGGAAACCGAAAGCAATTTCAGCGGCAAAAGAAAGACGAGGTGTCAAAGTGTTGGGAATTATTTTGGGATGTTTCACTGTTTGCTGGACGCCGTTTTTTGTGTGAGTCGGGGATGAAAAGTTTCTATGGGAATATTTTCAAAATTAGAAAATGAATCAATAAAATATTTCTTGCAGAATGTATGTACTTGTTCAATTTTGCCAAGATTGTAGTCCAAATGCTCATATTGAAATGTTTATCACATGGTTAGGTTACAGTAACTCGGCTATGAATCCGATTATTTACACGGTAATTGATAACGTTTCTTGAGTTAATTCTTAATCAAAGAACATTTCAGGTTTTCAATCGTGATTATCAAATTGCATTGAAACGACTTTTCACATCGGATAACAAACCAATATCCACATCTCGATTATGAAAATAATCATCATTTCAAAAAAAACTTCGTTTTGAATCATATGTATCTAGCGGGTTCCCATTTTTGCTTCTGATCTCATTTTTTGTATGTTCTATTTTCCACTGATTTTATTTTCTTTGATTTTATTTGAAATGTATTGATTATTTATTTCTATCGGAAGAAAATAAACCAAAAGAATGATGAAATCAATTGATTAATTTGATTGAAATTGATGTTTTCTCTCAATTTTCGGGGTTGATGTTCAGGAAAATTTGTACAGCTGCAGCACAAATATGAGACTACAATGAAGTTTGAGTTCAGATATAGTTCAGATATTGTGTACTTTGAAATGTCTCTACTACTATGAAACACTGTCCAACTAACAAAACAAATTTCAAATTCCAAGAGCTTCTCACTTCTAAATTACATTGCGGGTTATTAAATGTCATTGTATACTTCAAATCAATATTCAGGATCTAAGCGTTGTTAATCCAGAAGAATTTGTTGTTTTAGATTCTTTGAATAAATACACAGTTATAGCTACAGTACTCTGATAAAAATATATAACATTGAAAGTTTAGATCATTGTTCATTGAAATTTTTAAAAACTATATTCTATTTCTTTTTTGTTTTCCTAACAACTTTCCTGGTGTTTAAAATTATGTTTCCAAGTTTTCTCATTCTCATTTTCAGTTTTCAAAATCTACATTCTTAATTATTCTTGCCTCCCACTTATTTCCTAATTTCTTCAGATTAAAGCATTTGACCAATCGGAAATTCATTTAGTATAGTTTTTTTGACTAAAAGCCTTTCTGATCACCACTTAAACAGCATCCGGTCACACAAATTTCCGAATCTCATAATACTACTATAATTTCATATTTCAAACACTTTATACATCTAAAATTCGTGTGAACTCATTTATATTTTATGTTTATGAAATATTTTTCTCATCCTATTTTTTCCATAAATCTTCAAGAACAAACAGTTTGTTCGTTGGGTAAAACTATTTGGGTTATTTACTTTTGTGCTGACTTTTTGCCACGCAAAAAAGAACAGCTCCTCCTTGCACAGCGAGAAGAAGAAGAAGAAGAAAAATGGGAGAAAAACTCATATCATCATAACTATTTGAAAATTCATTGTACTTTTCTTCACACGTCACTAGAAACATTTGTTGCTTTAAGATTTTTTTTGACAAGTTTTGTAATAGACAAGAGAGTCGTTCACGTTCCCAAAACATTTTTTTGTGAATCATCTCTTTTTTCTGTTAGAAAAAAAAACATTTTTTGATTTATCATAGTTTTTTCCGGTATTTTTTATTCATCTCATGTTTCACTGGTGTTCTTATGTTAGTATGAAACGCTCAAAAATGTTGCTTGCTAAAAGTGCACTCTAACTCGATTTTGAATGTTTGAAGTGTTCCTAATTTTTTGGGGAACCAAAGAATATTCTTTTTTTAAGAATCGATAATTTGATTTGATTTCAAATTCAATAATATGTTTTTGTTCATGAAGCACATTCACTGTAAGTTTTGCCCTTATTCAAATATTGAAATTTTATTAGATCCGAAAATTTCTTCGAAAATTTTTAAGTGCAAAGTTTCACACGATTCATAGATTTTTCATAACTATAAAAAATATTCATTTAAAATTAAAAATTTTTATTTGAGAATAACTGATTTTTTCACAGAGTTTGTTTCAATCATCGATCATTCAATGTCAATAGATTTTCCAGAGCTCAAGTTATATCTTTGTAGTCTCAAGCGTTCTATACTAATAACATAAGAAAACTATTCTAAATGTTCCCATAGGTCAGTTATTTCTGGTAGTTTGAACGCTTGACCTTGCTATGGGAGAACAAATATTATAACTAAATGGCTAATGGACACTCTAAAGATGTGCTTCTTGTTTTTTATATATACTTTTTTGTTTTTTTTTTCTTTAACTTATATTTTTTTTCAAAATCCAAGATATAGTGAGATCTTATTTGAAATATTTATTGTGAGAAAAGCTCCTCCTGCTTTCCGATGAAAAAAAATAGAAAATTACATAAAATTATCTTCAAAAAAACCAAAAGAGTGCTCCAAATAGTCTAATCCTCTTTGGGGTAACAACAGCCCAAAGCCGGGATTGATCCCCTGACCCTGTGGGTAGAGAACAAACGGCTTCGCCACTAGACCATTGGAACACCCTGGAATGGTATGTCTTTTTTGCATTTATATTTTTGATATTTTTGCGAATCTGTGCGGATTATTATTCTATGAGGAAATACATATGATAAGAAATCAATTTTTGTGCTATGGAGAAATATGAAAAATTGAAACCATTGTATTAGGCCAGAAAGTTTTTTAATCGAGTCCAGAATATTTCATGTAAAATGTTTATTAGCGGCGATCTTCACTGATCTCTTAGGACAAGTGAACCTTTAATTAATTGAAAACTGAATACAATTCCGGAGATTTGTTTGTTGATTTTTAACTGCATAAATTCCAATCAAATCCAGATTCTCTAGAGCGTAACCCATTCTGTTCAATAAAACAAATAACACTAAAAATTTATCCTCATGTCATAAATTTTTTGTCGGCTTCAGCTTCTCCTTCTTCCCAATAACCCAATAAAAACAAGTGGGACCACCGACCACATACATATTGTTTGAAAAAAATCATATAGACAAACTCATGTTGTCGAGTGATCTCTGATAAAACATGCCACGGGAATGTGATGAGCGAGGGGCAAAATGCTCCGCCCGCTCACATTTTTAAAAAAATATCAATGGTAAAGGTGAGATTTTCAATATTATATGAAAGCTTTTTGTTTTGAATTCTGGACAAATATATTTCGATGAAAAAAGCTCAATCAACCATTTATCAACTATTTGTTTTTTTCTGTCTTGCAACTACATTTCTATGTCTTCTCTCTCACTTTTTTTCTGTTTGACAGCTTATCAAAACCTCAAAAAATGAACATTTTAAATTCTTTGATTTATTATCAATTTTTATGATCTTTGAAACTCAACTCTCCCCCAATTAGCTATATTCTTCTCATCAACAGAATTTGATCTTTTTTTCGCAAAAGGACCCTTCAAAAATCTTTTTTCTTTCTTTTTTTTCCGCTCACTTTTCCCTATTTTTCGTCCGCCGACGAATTTGATAAAAGCAAAAATTGAATTTCGTTGCACCTTTTTCCGAATACATCAAAAATATTCTTGACTTGTTGTTACTTTTTCATAGAAAAAAATATACAGATACTTTTTTCTTTCAGACTCGACAAATGTTGTCGCTAATTTATCTATGTATTTTTCTAGTTGGAGGTAAGATATTATATAACAACTTCTTGCAAGAAACTTGTATATAAAATAAAAATTTTTTTCAGTTGTTCAATGTGGTGAAGGTGGCGGTAATTGGGGTTATGAGCCACACAATGGACCAGACCATTGGCAAGGTGATTGCCAAAATCATTTACGACAGGTTGGTTTTTGTTAGACACAGCTGTTATTGCTAAGCGTTTGATTAATTGAGCGCATCAATTTTAAAACATTTGACATGTTCCGACCTTTTGTTTAGAAAAAGAAAAGTGATTATAATTTTATGGGATATTTGGCACCGGTGAGATAAACAACGTCCTTTGATTTGTAATAGATCAGGATCAACAAATTAGTTGGGAGAATTTAGTGATATTAGAAAACAGCAATTAAATATGAGATGAATTATTTAGGTGTTAGAAAATTTGGTGATTAAGTTCAACTCAACAAATATTTAGCAAGAAAAACCAACTTTAAAATCATCATGAGGATATTTATCAACAAACAAAACGGTTTTTGTCAAAACATGAAACTTCTTGAGCAAACAGACATAGTCTTAAACAAAGATCATATTTTCAAAAATTCTTAACCAGTTAGGTTGTAACATAACTTGATTTTCTCAAGAGACCGAGGTTTTGAAGTTAATTTTGAAATAACACTGAACTTGAATTAGTTTATATTCGGATTGGAACAATATTTTTTGCTAACAGAGTCAAAGCTGAAACCAGCTGTTAATATCCGACTTCTTTTTTCCCACAATAACTTTATTATCTCATATTCCAGAGTCCAATTGACATCCGGGCTCCAGATGTTGATTATGCTCTTCTCCATCGTTTGTATTTTATGAATTTCGAACATGCTGGTCATATTGAGTTTTCAAATAATGGAAAAACACGTAAGCTGGGAATTCTTCAAAAATTATCAGAATACTCTTTGATTTTCAGTTGTTGGTGGTGGATTTGATAAATGGGGTCAAAAACAACCATTCATTCAAAGCGGCGGTTTGAATCATCGTTACAAATTGCATTCATTCCATTTACATTGGGGAGGTCACGATTCAGTTGGATCAGAGCACGCGATCGGAGGTCTTCATTATCCAGCGGAACTTCACATGGTTCATATAAGAGAGGGTTTGTCACTTGGAGAAGCTGTAACTCGACCAGATGGAATTGCTGTTGTTGGTGTGTTTTTGGCTAAAACAAATGATCCAATTGCAAATCGAATGAATATTATTTCGGATGTTTTTGGAAAAGTTAAACATACGGGTTCGTTGTTTCGCTGCGCAATAATTTTTCAGAAAAATAAAAAAATTTGTTTTTGTTCCAGGTAACAAAACAGAAATTTCAAGTTTCAAAACAAATTATTTGTTGCCAGCTGTGACTGAAGCATTTTATAGATATGAAGGAAGTTTAACTACACCAACATGTAGTGAAGCAGTTATTTGGACACTTTTAGCTGAGCCAATTGCTATTTCCAGCCACCAGGTTTGTTTTTTAGTTTTAATTGTCTATGATGTAGAATTGAAATTCTCAACTCAACTCACCTCAATTATTTATTCGTATTATAGCTCCACCTCCTCCGTGATATTCACAACTACGCCAACAAAAAAACTGAAATAAATTACCGACCACTTCAAGCATTGAACGGTCGAAGAATTCAATATCGACCAAGTAAATTAGATCGCTCAATGATTTGTTCTGCTGAAAAACTCTCAATGGTTATCCCAGCTTTAGTTATGATGGCGAAATTTTTCTAAATTTTTAATTCAATTTTTCAACTTTATTTTCTTTCAAAAAAAATGGATTTTTTGTATATAGTTTTATTATTTTATTAATCAAATGACCAAAGCATTTTTTCAACATTTTTCATTGGTATAAACTTCTTTCCATAAGATCAGATTACTGTATAAATTAGTGAACGTGGGAATTGAAAAAATTCATACTTACATTTTTATGATGTCCATAAAAACGCTACTTTTTATGCTTTGCTTCTCGTCATACTAAAAACCGAAATGTTCTTTTCTTGAGGCATAATGTTGTTTCTTTTTTTGGCGACGCTGAAAAAAACTCAAGTTCCAGTTTTTGGTAAATTAGCGTTTCGCTTATTTTTGAGAGAAAAAATAACAAATAAGTTATTTTCAGGTTTTCAATTATTCTTTTTCAAAGTTTACAATTTTTGAGTTTTTCCTTGAAGAGCATTTTCACATTAATATAGCAATGTTGCTAATCGTCAGACAAATGTGTTATTAACTACTAGGAACCAATTTTCCAAGAAAAGTTTTTTTAAATTTTTGAATGAGGTCATAACCAAAAAAGAAAAACAATATTTCAAGTTTAACCCTAGGCAATCGAATTCAGATCCTTTTTGAATATATGTTTAGATGAAAGAAATCTGGGTATTTAAGCCATTTTATTTTTGATAGCGTGGCAAGATATCAGATTTTTAAATAACAAGATCATAGCTAGATTTCCATTTTAACAACCGATTTGAAAATATACCTAAAACCTCTAAAACCCTGTGAACATTCTTGAGATCTTTACAAATTCATAAGTTTATTTATATTCATAATACACTGTTCTAAATGTCGACCAAAGTGTAGACTTTGAAACGAACTGATTTCGAATGCCTACACGACAGGAATAAATATACATATTAAATAAGAAATAACTTTTTTTCGAACGAGAACTTCTAACAAATAAAAATGTTCTGTCACCTTATACCAAAGTACTGTATCCATCAATCAAAAAACATTTTTTTTTCAATCACGTCACTTCACAAAAAATGTCAAATCTCTAAAAAGGCGAAATATGAGCTTCTAATTTATTTAAGTGATTCTCGCGCCAATTAATCAAAAGTATGTCGTGAGAATCTCAAAATGTTTCTTGTTTCATTCTTCAAGATCCCTCATTTAAGCCATTATTTTTCTCCTAATTTTTCACCCTTGGTGGTCACCGATTAAATGTTTTTTTTAGCTTTTTCCGTTTTAATTTTCCGAGAAGCGTTCCCTCATTATGTATGTATGTAATGAGTTCAGTTTAATTAGTTAGGATAGTTTTTCTGAGCATGTTGAATTGACTTCAGCCATATATAAGACAGAAAATAATGGATGATGAATAATCCAAGTTAGGCGAAGGCGGATGATAAATTTGAGTGACTAATGAAACATGACTGATATTTATTTATCCACAAAAAAGACTACAAAGAACATAATATTAAGAGAGCCGGAGAGAGTCATTTGATATTGAAATTCACACCAGTCCACAATGACTACTATTATTTTATTTTTGTTTTTCTTATTTCATTCATATTGGGCTCAAAATAAATCCGTAAAGTATAATTTTTCAAATATTCCGCACTTATTCTCAAACTTTCTCAACCGCGAATGATTTGTTTTGTATGTGATTCTACGCCAGCATAAACCATTTGTGTGTAAATACGGAAGAAAGATTTTATGATCTACAAATTGATGTTCCTCACATCAATTTTTATTATCAGTTCCTTATTGAGATGACGAATATCTGAAAAATGAATGAAAATGAGAAATATATAAATTGAAAAACCCACACATTCATTTCATGTTTCTATGTATGTTTCACCTGTTTCAAAAATATTTCTCAACTAACTACATATGTATTATACCCCCATATTTCAACAAATGCTGAAAAATTCTTCTACACATTTCAGATAAGTACAGACACATTTATTATGTGGGTAATTCGAGAAAAATACATGTGAACGAAGGATGATGATATTTTATATATTTTTATTATTATATTTTTTCACCCTCCCCAACCCATCATATGATGAATTTAGAGAGTTGACTCTTTTTTTTCAAGAAACAACGACAAAGTAAGAAACTTTTGTTCGTTATTTTGTTACAATGAGTTTTGCTCTTTTTTATGGGAGCTAGTTACCAAAAAAAACCACTAAATTATCCTATTTATGGATATTCATAGATCCGGTGGGCTCCTGTTTGTCTTTAAATAAAATTCGTAGGCAGATGTTTTTAGCTAAAGCAATGAATATGCTTTTTTCTGAATTTAATGTTACAGTTTTTGTTCCCGGAAAAGACTAGAGTACACTCAATAAATCAGCTTCAAAATCTGCAAATTGTTACTAATTCGCGTGTCAATTACTAATCCAAATTTGCAGAAAACCGTTATCACGCGATTAATTGTTATTACAAATCCAGGAAAATGGGTTTTTTCATGGAAAACGTAACACGAAATGTGGGCGACCCACAACGTATAAAAGCCAGGATATATCCATTATTATTATTCTTTTTGAACTCTTAGTTTATTCTGCTCTCGACTCTTCTTTTTCCCATTTTTTGTTACTTCATTTTTTCTTCTTCTGTGTGTGTGTGTCAGAGCACGCCTTCTTTTGCCACAATGTTTTAATTAACCTTTCTTTAGCGGCTCAGTTATTTTTTCCAACTATTTCAAATAGTCCACACCAATCGTATATTCTTATTGTTCGATGAAAAAGAGGTGGAGATTTTTTCCCTTCTTTTGATGTTCGGACATCCGAATATTAATTCGTTATCTCCTCCCATTTTCATCTCATTTTTACTATTTCTATTTTTTTCTACCACATTTCATATTCCGGATTTTTTTCAGGAAAAAACTTCAAAATGCAAGTTGGGTACACTTTCGCAGTTGTCTTCGCACTTCTCATCTGTTCAATCTTCTCGTACAAACTTCCAGTAGAGGTGAGCTCCCTAATAGAAAATCCGATGTAGAGATTTATAATGTTATCATTTTTAGTTTGACGAGGAATACAATCCGGTGGTTAGCAAGAGACACTTCTACAACAATAATAAGTGAGTTTGATCTAAAACTGACAAATATGAGAAATGATTTTTCAGACAATACAAACGTGAATTCAACGCGGATGATTTGACACTTCGATTTGGCAAACGATCAGATGCCATGGCATTCTCCCCCGATCAATTGTCACTCAGATTTGGCCGACGAAGATAATCAACTTCTTTCTCGCCTTTTCCAATCAAAAATATTAATATTGAAGAAGCCAATGTCCGAAAATATTATATATATTTTTATTTATGTTTATTGTAAACCACACCAAAAAATAATTCTATTTTTCTCGAAAAAACAAATAATTTTACAGTGTTAATAAATCACCGTTGTTAGATAATTGAGTTCTGTTATTTGAAATTGAAGAGGGTTGGGGAAAGGGGGGAGGGTCGATTACTGTGGATCAAGAGAAACTTGAAACTCGAGTCCGATAAAAAAGGGTTTCTCAAAGATAATTTACAGGTAAAAAAGATCTCCTGGTTTTTTGAAACCGCGAAAATCATCTCTAAATCAAATTGTGATATGGACTTCCCGAATTTTCCAGTAACATAATAGAAATCTAAATTGTTCAAAGGTTGATGACACCCTCAACAACTCTGAAAATGTTTGAAATTTTTTCGAGCTCGCCTAATGTTGTTAAACTAGAAAACCCAACAAAAATCCAGTGAAATCTTACCTATTTTCAGAATTTCCTTATTGTTACTCCACTCTACTCCCACTCTTACCACTTCACAAATTTCATTTCATTATTTTCCAAAGAAAATATATATATCAAATTTCAGCCAAAAATTTATATTTTCGTATGACATTAAAACAACAAAAAAACCCCCGAGCCAATTTGTATTCCAAGTTGCTCCACTTTTTTCTGCTACATATATACATATCTCTGAGATCAAGAAAAAGAATGGAATTATTTATTTGAGCCAAAAAATTGTTGGAAAATCAAAGAATATGTTTAATGTTTTTTTTTTCGAAAAAAAAATGAGACAAAATGACGGAATGAAAAATTGAAAGAGAAAGAAAGTAAATGGTTTGAGGAGGAACAATTATAATAGAATAGGGTAAAATACAATGTTTTAATAGAAAGAAGACAGTTTTGGCAGGAAGACAATTTGGCGCATATTAAAACAAAAAATTGGATATGAAAATGAAACCAAAAATGAACTGAATTTTTCAAAAATTATTTAGAGCTCATAGCTCATCCTCGTCAGATTCTTTTCTTGTGCAATAACACGCCAATCCCACCAAAATGGCGAAGAAAAATAATGAGCAAAATGAGAGCATTGCGGTGGCCATCTGAAAATTGTCATTAATTTTTTTTTGTTTCATTTCTGCGAGGAAATTTCTAACCTGCCAATTTCCAATGCTTCCATCAAGTTCAGCAAGTCTATGAATAGTTGCCACATCTACCGTATCTAGAGCCGGAGCATACCAATTCCAAAAAACATGTCCTTGCCATCGGAAACCAACCTGCAAAAAGAAAAACAAAGTTTACCTATACTATTTCAAAAAAAAGTGCAGGGTGTGTGATTAGCGTTATTCAATGGTGCACTTGTTTTTTTCCCAGACAAAGTTACGTAGGTAAATTACACTTTGATGATCACTACAGTAACCCATCGAAAATCAAAATTGTAATTTTACTTCCAGAAATTTGTACACGCACACTAAAATTTGAAAAAAAAACAAGAAAATTGTTATTCCAGCTAGCATGACACGGAATTCTAAAAATTTTCATTACTCACCAATTGACTCAACTCCCACAAAAGATCAAGACCATATTTTGTTATTTTTAGGAAAAACAAACAAACCTACGCACGTGTGAAAAAGAAAAAAACAAGGGGTTAAAAAGTTACATTTTCTTAGTATTATTATTATTGATGAAAAATGAGGGTATGCTTGATTGCTTCGATGTTTTTTGCATAATTAATTGAACTAGGGAGAAAAAATGAGTTCTTAGAAATTGGGTGAAGATTAGAAATAGAATACGGAAGAGTGTGGGAAGTTTGAATAAAACTTCACGGGGGGTCTAAAAAATGCAAGTCAGAAAAAAATTAGCCCTTGGTAAACTATTTATTTGAAAACACTGTAGATCGATAATGTAAAAGATTGTGGTGATTTTTTTAAATTTTTATTCAAAGTGAGCTTTCAAACCATTATTCTTTTTTTTTTCAATTCTCAATTCATTTCAAACTCACCTTCATTGTTGGACTATCAGTAATCGATAAATAATTCAGCTCATGCATCGTAGTCGAAGTCCAGTTGAAATTGAACTCATCATTATCTCGCGTAGGAGTTTGTGTATATGCAAAATTTGTAACAAGTCCCGCGAATATTTCAACAACTCTTTTATCAATCTGCCAGTTCATATCTTTTCGATGATCTAGGAATCGAGGTGAGATGTTGAATATGTGGAATTTGTCAACACCGTGGAAAGCTCCTGAATTGTTAACGATTTGGTAAATTTTTAAAAACATTAAGAGAAGCTTTGAGACTTACGATTAATACCATTGAGATTTTCACTAATATGATCGAACGAATATAAATATATATTTGGCTGATGCTGGACACAAGAAGCTGCTAAACGTGAAGCTGGAGCATCGTACCAGAAATGTGAATACATTTTTAATATTGATTCCATCAACACTGAACTATTATTAGATGGATCAACTTGTTTATTTACATATTCAGCTTGACAACCCTAAAAATATTTCGATTTTTTTGATAATATTCTTTCAGTTTTTTAATTTCAACCCACCTTTGCTATCAGTTTATGATTTTGAAATTGTTCATAACCCTGTGTCAAATTATTCACTAATCGAACACCATCTTCCAAACTCAGTGTTGAGAAATTCAGCTGTTTTTCATTCATATGAACTGAAAACAGAAATGTATACATGTAAAACGAAAAAAAACTGGAAAACTTACAAATCCTAAGGGAACTCTCATCACGAGTAGTTCCAATAATCATAGGTACATGAGGTATTCTACTTTTTCTTTTTTGATCCGCTAATTCAGCTGGTGATTTTGGTATCAAACCGTTTTCGCCATCGATGGTTGGTGTGAAATCTTCATAATCATCGTATCTTATACGCTGGAACAATGGAAAAATATTAAAAGATCAGAAAAAAGTTCTGAATAAAAGTCTATTTCGAGATGGCCTCTTCATTTTTTTTTCATTGAGAACTCACATTATTCTCAAAAATCTCTTCTTTACTATGTTTCCTTGCACAGTCTAATAGAAGAGTATTGTTAAATGCTTTACATCCAAATCGATTATTCCATTGAGATGTTGCATTTGCACTCGTATTTCGAACAATACCAGGTTGTAACGCAGAACCTGACATTAAAATGACACCATGGAATAAGTGCTCATTTTGAATAGTTGGTGATAGAGCTAAAAGTGATGCTGATGCTGCTCCAGAACCGTGACCCATCAATGTAATTTTATCCGAATCTCCCTTGAATGTCTCAATGTTATCCTGAAAATGTGTTATTTCAGAGTTCATATTATCTTTCAAAAAATTCTACATACTTTAACCCATCTCAACGCCGTTACTTGATCCCATAATCCCACATTTCCTGGTTGTGTTGATTCATTTTCTGTGACTGCAAAACCAAGCGGACCAAGTCGATAATTGAAAGTTACAAAAACAAGCTGAAAATAAAATATTTAATTGAAAATTAATTTATATGACGCATCATAATGACACTTTTTTCAATTTTAATTGAACGGGTTCCAAGTGAGAAATTTGAAAAAAATATTAATTTGACTCGCAATAATTAATGGGGAATTTGAAATGTGCAATGTGTTATGAGGGTAAATTATTCATAAATTGAAGGGGGATTTGCTTATTGTCTGGATATGAGTTTTGTATTGGGATTTAAAATTTGAACAATATATTTCAAAGAATCTGATATATACATTGTTGTGCTAAACATTTGCTAAATTTAGATAATATATTTTTCTCTTGACATCTAATATTATTTTATTTGCATCGTAAACAATAGATTTTTTATCGAACTAATGTTTATGACTATTGCCTTGATTTTACAATTCTAAATTCTGAATAGTTTTTTTTCTTTCCTTTTTCAACTCTAGTCTGGTTTAAAAGGTCATCTCATCCCATCATAATCTTTCTGCAAAATCAAATTTTTCTTTGCAAACTTCGATAGAGTCTCTCAAGCTTAAAGTTCGACAAAAGAGCACTAATTCAGCAGAAAAAGAGCCTGTAGGCGGCCTTTTTTGTGACAAAATGCAATCAGGCATTGAAACAGGAAATGCATTTGTTTCCTCTTGTCTTTTCACACTATCAAATTATCCCTCTATTCTTCTTGCACTTTGGCTTTTCCTTCTTTCAAGGATCTGTCTTTTTTTGTGAGTGTTGCAATTTTCAAATGTTTTCAAATTCAAACCAAACTCGCCTTGCGTGACACAAAATTGTCGAAAATTGCTTGTTGTGGTATGTCACTTCCGGATCCCGTTTGAAATCTTCCACCATGAATGAAAACAATCACCGGAACTTTTTCACTATTATTGTACTGCAATACAAACATTGATTGGAACTTTTCAAAAAACTCAATAAAATTACCGGAGCTGGAGAAAACACATTGATGTACAGACAATCCTCGGAAACATGATGAACATATCTTTCGGGTTCACTGATATCTCGCTGATTCAAGTTTTGCATACACATTGGACTGAAAAATTATTAATTAATTATAATTTTTGAAACTTTAATCAAATAATGAATACCTGTATTGGGTGGCATTCATGACTCCTCGCCATTTTGCAGGTTCTTGTGGTCTTTGAAATCGAAGATATCCAACTGGTGGCATTGCAAATGGTACGCCTTTGAAGGCTGTGAAATCTTGACCATTTTGAGTCTGAAAATAAGTGTTTTGAATATCTAGAGAAAACTCTTGAACTGTGAACTTTTGGTTTGAAAATAATACGATTCTACTTTCAACAATTTTGTTAGAACTATTAGTTTTAACATTTTAGTTCTCAATTCAGAACGATTATCAAAAATATTCGAGAACAAACTCTGTTGAAATGAAATCCAGAGAATATTTCTACATCTATTGAAATTATTTCGAAAAACATTAAATATGACGCAGAGCAGTATTTGAATTCGAAATTTGACATCTTCAATTTTTTTTTGAATAATCCTATCTATTAATTATGAGATTGATAACAATTTTCCACTGTTGAAATTTTTAGGTGAAAAAATAAGACATATTCTACACATAGGTTTTTCTAAACTTCATGATTTTTCAAATTCATTTCAAAACAGAAATTCAATTTCGTATCATTCAGTTTAGTTCTATTTACAGTTTCCGAAAAAATGATATGAATATTCTTAAAAGTCACCCAAACCTCATCCCGCATCCAAACTCACAATTCGTTCTCCTCGAATCGCACCAGATTTGACAGTCACCTCGAACGGTGTTATTCGCCGCTCACACGATATAAAATAATGCGTATTCCACCATAATAAAAATGGTGTGATCAACCAACGCATTTCCATACAAAAACAATTTAATTCAAAAAATCAACAACACTATTTGTCTACATAATAATTAGTGAAACCTAATTGTCCTCATTGATATCTAAAGGTATCTGAAAAAAATACATTATCAGAATTTTAAAAAAAAATAAGAAGTTGAATAAAATAATAAAATTGGATGGATTTGAGATATCTGTGACATATGTACTATTCTGTCAGAAAATATTCAAAATAAAGAATTTATCCGAAAAAAGGAGGAATTTGAAAAATTCAAAAATAAAAATAGAAAAATGAAACATGTCTAACTTCCAAACTCAACTCAATCAGTAACATTTTACACCCATCCGCAAATTTTTTCAACAAGAAAGATGAAAAAAGCGAGAGTCAAAACTATCTCTTCTCTTTTGCTTTTTCAACTAACTTTCTTCTCTCTGCCACCAACCAAAAACACAACACAAAAGGAAAGGAAAAAGAGCGTGATTGGTGCATTGGAGAAGGCAAGCCAAAAAATGGCACCCCACACCAAAAAGCTCAAAATGTTTGGGCGAGAAAAAAGAAAGAGAGTACGCGTCATTTTCCCGTGGGACGAGCCCGAAAGGAGCAAGAGTTGCATTCCAAACAAGAAATGTTTGCCAAAGCCGTCATTGGTGTTTTTTTCTTCTTGGGCTCGTGTAAGTGTGTATATGTTTGTAAGAAATCCAGAGATGTGAAGAAAAGAAAAATATGGCGCCACAAAAAATGAATAACCACAAAAGGGTGGATAAAAATTCAGAACTGGTAAATTTAGAATAAAAAATCAGATTGGTTCATACAAATTCTGAAAATCGGATTTTTTGTTTGAGCTCATAAATGGGAAATGTGTTAAACAATTTCTATGGTAGCTTTGGGAACTACTTTTGAAGACATAAAAAGAAAATAGTACGTCAATTTATCAAAATTGTTCACAGTTTGAGAAATTTGTGATATTTATTTATTGCTTCCGCCTGAGTGTCCTGTTGTATGGACAATTTTTCAAAAAAATGTGTTATGGGCCTATGCAGAATAATATTTTGTAATAAAACAACAAAAAAACTGATTTTTGATATGCAAAAAAAAACGTCCAACAACAAAATATAGTTTTGAGAGAGTGCAGACAGATAAAGTGATTTTTCGCACAAAAAATACAAGAAACTAATTATTGTGTCTGCACTCTCTTAATTTCACATTGTCTCTACTCAAAAATAACAAACTGTATATTTTGTTTTTTCGACGTTTTTCTGATAGGAAACATATATTTTTTAAATGTTTTTTTATTAAAAGATATTATTCTGCATAGGCCCATTGATTTCTCAAAAAAATTACGAGTAACTGTAACTTGACTCTGATTGACTTGGTGCAAATTGTATAATATCGGAATCAAATCTTATTATTGCACTAAAATCATGTTAACTCGAAAATGAAATCCACTTTTTCGAATACTCCTGATAGAGCATTCATTTAAAAAAAATTTTTCGTGACTTTCATATGAAAATTACTCATCAAATTGACTGAAATTAAATACCTAATTCCAAAAATCAGTTTTTGATTTTACCGAACAAAACATTATACATATATGGATGTTACAAGTTTTCAAAGATCTACTTTTCTCATTTATGATGCAAACATTTTAATCTAAAGCATACATAATTTTGAACATTTTGTTTATTTACATATATGTGATTTATTTTCAGCGCTTTTCCAACTGACAAGGATTACAATTTCAAGTTATGAAATCTTGATCTTTGTTGATAAAAAGGGTTTTTCTTTGAAATTTTTTGTAACTGTTTGATGATGAACTTTTGGTTTGGTTGGCATTTCCAACAATGCAATATTTTGATTTTTTAATTAGACGCCCACAGCTTTTTTGAATTATGGAATTCTTGGAAATTAAGAAAAAGAAGTCCCTAAATTATTCCTAATTGTGAGGTTTCCTCATTGTATATTCAAAAAAATTAATAACAATATTTATCATCCTAGAAACTTGGGGATTTACAGTGACGAATTGTTAGTTTTCGAAAACAAATCCAAAATTACGCATGTCAAAAACAATACATGATCTTGCAAAACCCCTTCAATAGCAAAAACCTCCAACAATTCAAAAATTTTCAACAAATCAATCAACCATTTTTTTTTTGTTTCTGTGTTCATCCACTTCATTAGTCATTGGTTCAAAGTAAATTTTTGAGCATTTTCAGTTTGTTAAATTCGTTTTTTCGAAACTTCTTGACATGACTAGGATAAAATTATCTACGTCATCAATTATAATTTTTCACCGTTTTTGTCAGAGAGACAACACAAAAATAACAACGATAAATCTTTTTTTTTCGAAAAAAAATAGAACAAGAAAAAAAGCAAAACAACAAATGTCTCCACATATGGATTTTCACATAAATCTTTTCGTTGTTGGTTTCGACTACTTATGAGTGTTATCGAAACTTTTTTGGTACATACATTTTTTGTGGGATATTTCAACACATAAAATAGTAGAAAATTTTTTTTCGGGTATTTTTTTCAAAAGGAAAGGAAAGGAAGAATCCGGAAACGGGATAGCGTGTTGCTGAATGCCACTCATCAGTCGACAAGGATAATAAAATTTCTTGGAAGAAAAATTTTCATCGGTCCCTTTTTTTGGAATTCAAGTTAAAATAATCAAGGGATGGGATTAAAAATAATACAATTATTTAACTATACAACTACAAAGTCAGAAGAATTTTTTTGTAGTTTAAAATACAAATAAATTTTGACAATTTGTGAAAAACAAGGTGTGTAATTTTATTTCTCCAAATTGCTATTGGAGTTTCATAAAATTATTGTCGTTTTCCTGCAAAAGATCTGATAAATCAAAAAATTATCTCTTTTATATATTTGAATATGCATTTTCTCTTTCAATTCCAATCATCTTTGAAACATAATTTATGGAGGTCTACATTTTTTGCAATTATGCTCTTTTCAAGAAAACAACGAGCGTTTTTTTCTTCAATCATCTTTTGAACCAATATTTCTGCAATTTTTGAGTTCGATGTTTTTGGTTTTCTGATTGATTCCGGGTCTGATTTTTTGAGGTGTGGGAAAATAATTACTAATTTTTGATGTAAAATGAAAAACACAAGGAGAGCATTTTTTGAAATTTACATATAAAAGTTAAACAATTTTCATTTAACTTGAAATTTCTAAAAAAAAATCAGAACGTTTTCTGACAAAACAAATTTCCGTGATTAATTTTCCAGGTATAATTTTTTATTCATTCTAATTTTTTATTCGGTTTCTTTAGGTTTCTTGCGTTCCACGAAACCAAAAAAATAAAGTAAAACAACGAGACTCCGCGTGACGCTGCGCTCACACAATTGCGGAATTTTTTTTTATTTTCAAACGAGGGTTTTTTAATTTTTTTTTTGCTTCAAAAAAGTTTTTTCTCTTTGCAGATGTGTTAAAATTAGTATGAAAAAAGTAAGTTTGGTCTGTTTTGAACCGTAGCTTGAAAATTGTCTATTTCTTTAAAATTCTGAATATTTCGAACCAAAAATCCCTAAATTTCTCTCACATTACTGATTTTTGTTGTGAGTAGAAAATCAAATCGACGAATTGTTCTCATTTTGAATGTCAGGAAAAAGTTGTTTTCCTCCATTTCATTTTGTAATGATTATACATGCACTTGCGTACTAGTCGTAGTCTTTGTCGTCAAAAATTTTTTTATGATGATTATGTTTTTCTTCCTCGTCTTCTTTTCAACTACTACAATTTCTCACCGCACATCATCCCACGGAATCAACAAATAAATAAATATATATACGAATTTTCAACAAAAAAATTCTAATGACTTTTTTTCGTTGTTTTTCCCATTTTCTTCAAAAAAATGGAAATTCGAACTCTATTTTTCCGTCCTTCCTAAAACTTGCACTCTTTCGCTTTCTCTCCCATCATGAGATGAAATGAAATTTGATATTCGAAACGGTAAAACAATTTCATTTCAATTCTTTTCAATTTCCGAAATTACTCGGTTTTTTCGGGGAGAAAAACAGAGGACAGAAAAGCCATAGTTTGAGTGCACATTTTTTCTGCAGTGTGCTCATCGAGGCCCAACTAACTAAGATGTGCTAATTATGACGTTACTTTGTTTTATCTACTTTTTCTATGATGTTCGAACAATTTCAAAGCAACAAAAATGAAAGGAATTATTTCTTTTTCAGGAAAAAAAATCAGCTTTGAAAAAATGACATTCAAAAATCTGATTTTTGATTTTTCAATGTTATTTGTTTTATTCAAATATTCTTGATAATGTGAAAATCCAGCTTTTTTCAGAATTAATTCTCAAAAAATTTCTCTCCGATTAAGAGCCATTTTTCACAAAAAGATTTATAGTTTTTAATTGTGCACGTATGTGCAATTTTCATTTGCTTGATCTGCTCACAAAAAAAATTGAAATAGGGTTTTTTTGAATTAATGATTAGAGAAAATTTTTCTTTGATTAAAACTCATTTGAAAAAGAAAGATTTATAGTTTTTAATTTTGTATGAGATTTTTTGTGCAAGATCTCATTTGACCAAAATACGCTCTCTGAGTCGAACGATTGCTCTAGAATATCAGATTTTTTCGAATCTTATATAAATTTGTTCGACATTTTCAAAATAAATTACACATTTCAAGAGCCTACCTGACAAATATTATTGAAATTTCTCATGAAAATTTGAATATCAAAAATCTCACGGAAATTATTATGTTTTCGAGATGTTATTTTTTCAAATATTTTTTCCCTTGAAAATTGTCACGCGTTAGAAATGTACTTGCTCAATTACCTAGTTACTTGGTCTTTCAAAACTGCTTGATTTTTCAAGTTGTTTCTCCAAATTTTCTCTCAAATTTCATTCTAATCCCATTTCGTCACATTGATGGACAAAATTGGTATATCTGAAGTGCTTCTGTTTCTCCTGATTTTATCTTGGGTTTTCGTTTTGAGAGGGAGGGAAAGAGAGTAACTAGCGGGAAAATGTGAGCATAAT